GAGGGTCGCGGTGGAGCCGTTTCCTGCCGGGGCCGGGCGGCGCGCTGCTGCAGCCGTGCACACCCCGCCGGGGGCGAGAGAGAGAGAGAGAGAGAGAGAGAGAGAGAGTAGGGAAGGTCTCCCGATGTTCGAACAGCACTACTAGACGGTCGTTGGGCGTCAAGTGGATTTCCTGAAGAAGGAGAGTGTTCTAGGTTGGCAAGGCTGTGCCTGCAACCTGCGAATACTGCCACTGTTATGTGCAGTCAACCCCCACCTCTACTCTCCACACTGTTATAAATATGACTGTCGAATAAACAAACGTCCTCACATCTTCTGAACCTTTGGTAACGTTATTTCTCACCCCTACGTCAAACCACAACATGGCGCAGTCGGTAGGACAGTTGTAAAGTGTTCTCTGAGTGTTCAGTTGTTCTTGTTTTGATTGTCATCAAGTGACATAAGAGATATTAGGAGTTATCTTAATAGAAACTCAAGTGTCAGTCAGTTGACGTTCTTTATTTTTGAAATTTTTACAAAATTATCAGTTTGCTTGTGGTGACATCATGTCAGACGAGTCGAGACCCGGACCGGTGAAGCTCCGTGAGGGTAACATAGCAGCCAATTGGGCAGCTTTTGAACAGCGCTTCGACATATTTGTGAAGGCTGATCCGTCCCGTGTTAATCCACCTGCTAACAAATGGGCAGTGTTAATGAAAGAGGCTGGACGTGAGGCTCTGGAGGTCTACAATAGTTTCAAAGACTCACTTGTGACTCGAGCTCTAGATGAACAGAATGGCATTGTGATCACTGATCTAAGTGAGAATTATGATGCGGTCGTCCAGGCCTTCAGAACATACGTAGAAGATAAAAAATCAATTACTAGCATTAGAGATGCCTTCAATGCTCGCAGGCAGAAGCCTGGGGAGACATGGTCCAATTGGTATACTGACCTGAAGTTGCTGATTAAAGATTGCGACTATCAGAATATCGCTGATTCTCTGCTACGAGATCACATCATTAAGAAGACCAGGGATCCTCGTTTTGCTGAAACCCTCAGAGCAAACAGGAACTGGACAATGGCACAAATTGATGAAGAAGGAAAAAATTCTGATGCTCGTCTTCAAGAGCAGGCAGCCTCTGAAGCAGCTCAGGTTCCAGCTGTGGATGCTGTCGTTAAGAAGAACCTGAAAAGGAAGCATGAGCAGATTAGCCGTGGTGCTCCGCGTGGACGTGCTCCGCGTGGAGGCCGCTATAATAATTATGTTGGTCGACCATACCATCACAGGGGCCATAGGGGATCCTTCAGAGGACACTATGGGCCGCCACACCCACGTGGTGCCTACCACAGGGGTGGCCGTGGCCACTGGAATGGTGGCTGGGGAGACTTCCAGGAAGTACCCTTCGATTGTACACGGTGTGATACCCGTCACAGACCTCGGAGGTGTCCAGCTTATGGCGTAGAATGCAATAAGTGTGGTACCCTAGGGCATTTTGAGAAATGCTGTAGAACCAAGGAGCCACGTGTTGAAAAGAAGTACATTGAGGTGGTACGGATCGTACACCAACCTTACCCTGTAAATTCCACTGTGCCTCCCACTGCTGCTGTCAGTGTGGAGCCAGTCTCTGGTGCAGAGTATCTGCTGCAAGATTATGACCAGCTTGAGGAAGCCCAGCTTCTCAAGACTCAAGATGTCTGCATGGTGACATCACAGCCGACTTCACCTGTACATCAGCTGCGGGAGTACACCGCCGGCCTGAAACTGAATGGTAAGCATTTCGTCT